CATGATTGTATATGGATGTGCCATTTGTACGGACTTTTCTTGGCCAACGTATGAATGATTCACAACAACATTTTGATAGATAGAGAGATGTGTAAAAAGAGAAAGAGAGAGACAGACAGACAGAAAGAAATTCCTGACTTAGGTGATCATCAAATGGTCTGTGGATCGCTAAAAAGGCATAAAAATTACAGTTGATATGCAGTGCTTATTTCTATGTCTACATAGTTTATATCTATGAATGATTTGTCTTTAATATTGGTTTCTCTTCACACATAAATAAAATACTTTTAAAATTGTAATTTTGTAGAAATTAATCAAACAACGTCGGCGAACATTTCACAATATTTTATATATCTATATAATATATGCGAACATTTCACAATATCTATATGATATATGGGAATAGAAACAATATAGCTATATCTATATAATATATGCGAACATTTTACAATATTGCTATATCTATATGATATATGCGAACATTTCACAATATAGCTATATCTATATGATATATGCGAACATTTCACAATATAGCTATATCTATATGATATATGGGAACATTTCACAATATAGCTATATCTATATGATTTATGGGAACATTCAAACAATATAGCTATATCTATATGATATATGGAAACATTTCACAATATAGCTATATCTATATATGATATATGGGAACATTCCACAATATAGCTATATCTATATAATATATCATGTTAGTCCGGTTTTTTTAATTAGAAATATTTGCAATAAGTTATTTGGTGGTGTGATTTTTTTTTAACGAGCTTTTTCCATCTTACTATAAGTAAATATACTTGTATTTTTATCAATATTTCTTTACCCACAGTTTACTAAAGAAAAAGACAGAAGAAATGGTGTTCCAATAATTTGGATCGATTTTAATGTGAATTAAGTTTAAGCGTCTAATGATTTTTTTTTCTTTTTGTTTCAGATTTGGCGGATATTTGGTCGATATTATTTTTCACACATAATTGCTATGACTTAAATAACATGATCCAATACAGAAATAATAAATTTTCACCAATAACACTGATTTATTTACCACTGACTTTGATCCGTCTTAATGAAACACCCTTTATATATAATCTGTCTTAATGAAACACCCTATAAAAAAAAAATACAGAATTTATGTGGTTGTTAAAAGTAGGGACAGTCCAATATGCGAGCTACGAAATCGAGATGCCAAATTCAAGTAGGCGTCTAAATTTAAATATGTTGTGGATTCGAGATGTAATTCGGTCTCCAATGAATGAAAAACGCAAGAATTAAATATAAGAAATAAAATGTATTTACACAATAATACAAAGGGTAATACTGTTATAAATCCAGGAACGCGGTTAGTAGCAATAACATATAGATATATACAGTCTCGAAGTAGGACTTCCTTAGAGTCTATATGCTTGTAACTAAACCTCTACAAGCGGTTACCTCACACTATTACTCTACCTCCAACTCAATCACAATCTCAGTCTTCTATATCTCTACTCACTCTCTCTACTCAGATTGACTCTGGGTATTTAACGGCAGCAGTCCAAGTAGCCCTTTGGTCGAGTCCACTTATATGAAAAAGGGGAGGACCCCCATAACAAAATATTTGTGATATGGAAAATGTCATATAGAAATCCAAACGCTTTCTGGAATAGCGAAATTTGATTTCCAGAAGCATTTTTATTTTTTAAACCAGTGACACCCTTACCAAGATGGTACAGCTGCTGACGCACAGGGGTTACAGGGTGGGGAGGAATCATGCACAGAAACGTTAATAATGTGAAGAAAAAAGGAAATATCAAACAGGAGGACAGTTTTAAAGCGATTGGCATTGCATTTATATTCTTGCAGATTATTTTTTGGATGGAAAGCATGGGACAAGAAGGAGTTCCGCAAATAAGAAGTGCGAGAAAATAAACTGGTAGCATAGTTACGGCTACATCTAGCTTACTCAACTGCAAGTTGATAAGATCTTCTCGCCAGTCTAGTATTGCGCTGAAATTCATAAAATCTAGGTACCATAGCAAACAGCTCATCCTAACAATTACCATTTATAAAAAAAATCACAGAGGCAACCTTACAGCTGTGGGAAAGGGACTGAAGCCGAGATGCCAGATAAGGACCAGTAATAATGCTGATTCTTATATGGACGTTATCAAGAGGCTCAAGATAAATAGCAGGGGCACCGAATCATGTGACAGCAATAAGCATTGTTGAAGGGTAGACTTACAGATATGTAAGATAGATTCAGGGGAGTTTCGACTCCCTCGATGCAGTGAACAAACTTTCTTAGCAGCTGATCTTGAAATATAGTCTTTCCACTTTGTGTCAGGCGAGAACGTTTGCCGGAGACAGCACAATACGTCACTTTCCTGGAGGATAGCATCAGCCATACTGATGGAAGCCAGAGAGGGCTCGCTCAGATAATTAACGGACAGCCATTTAGTTTTGAAGGCAAGCAAAGTATTAAAATTCTCGTTAGAAACACAGAAAAGATATCTGAATTCTTATATAATAATATTAATCCTCTTATATCGCAGTGAATGCTGGGAAATTTCCTCACAAAGAAGACATGTCATGTTGTTTTATAGAAGGATTCTGAGAATAGCATGGATGGAAGACGTGAGCAATGAGAAAGGTTTAAGGAAACCTGGAACAAAAGGTAAACTTGACGTGGAATCAGAAAGGGAGATTTGAAATCTTTGGAACACATAATAAGGAAAAAGACGAATGGGGAATTTGACACCCCGGGGACATTGAGAAGAGTAACAGAGAAAAATATTGAATAACTAATCCTAATAAAATATTAACTTTATATAAGTGAGAATACTGAAATATATATATACATATATCAGGTCATTCCACAAGTTCTGTCCGAATTTTGAATAAAGAAAACAAGTGACCAATTGTTACATTTTAATTACAGATTCAATCAACAATTATTTTCCCTGATTATCTATGACTTCCTTCCATCTATTAACAAGCTTACTAATTCCATTACTGCAAAATTCTTTTGACTTTGATTCGAAGAACTCACAAATGTCAGTTTCAACTTTTTCCTGTGTTACAAAAGCTGTTTCTTCCAAATGATTCTGTAAGCTACGAAACAAATGGTAGTCTGAAGGAGCAAGATCGGGAGAATAAGGTGGATGAGGAATTTTCTCCCAACCAAGTTCTTCGATCTTTTTTGTGACGTGATTCTTGCTGTGTGGGGTCGCGCATTGTCCTGATGAAACATCACCTCTTTTCGATTCACTAGAGCAGGTCTTTTTTTCCTCAAAGCTTGGTTCAAACGCTCTAATTGCTGACAGTATATTTGAACATTAATTGTTGCATTAGGTGGTAAGAATTCAAAGTGGATTATTCCTTGGCGATCCCACCAGATTGAAAGAAGAACCTTTTGCCCATGAAGTTCCCTTCTCGGCTGTGGCTGGGGTCCTTCCCTTTACCAAGCCACTGTCTACGACGCTTAACATTTCGATAAAAGATCCATTTTCGTCGCCAGTCACAAGTCTATCAAAAAAGGTGAAACAAGTTGGCGAGAATGGAGAGAAGAGCAGATGTCAACTCGGGATTTGAGGTTGTTTTCAGACAATTCATGAGGCACCCATTTTCCAAGTTTAGGAACTTTTCCAAGTTGTTGAAGATGACGATGAACAGTTGTATGGTTTGAACTGAGAACCACTGCCAATTCCTCAACTGATAAAGCAGGATTTTCTTCAAGGGCTGCTTCAAAGAAGCTTTTCATCAAACTCAACTGGACGTCCGGTTCGATCTTCATCTTCAAGGGTGAAATCTCTACCTCTGAATTTTGCAAACCATCTTCTGCAAGTTCTTTCATTCACACATTCCTCTCCATAAACTGAGTGAATGTTTCTAGCCGCTTCAGCTGCTGAGTTTCCTTTCTTGAACTCATAAAGCATTATGTGCCTCAAATGATTCTTGGGTACTTCCATGTTAGCAGGGTTTTAATCAAATCAATTGTTCTCTGAAATAAAATTTGATCATATTCAATGCATCAAAACATAAAAATAATGTTCAGCTCCATTAGACATTATAAAATACTCTTTAAATTTCGTTCATTTTAACAAAAAGTTAAAAGTCGGACAGAACTTATGGGATGACCTGATATTTACATGAAAATCAGTTCATCACTTTCCTAAATTTACATGTAAGTGTTTATGAATACTTATGTGTATTACAGACACGGGTATATATTAATAAATACAATGATGAAGGTATATTAAGTACAAACGTACAATTTGTTTTCCTGATGGTTGTATAGAACCCTGCTTAGTTCTGACTAATCTACTACAATTGGGTAGTTTTTTAACTGTATTTGCAGGTCGAGGAGGACAGTAGGTCGAGAAGGACAGAGGACGGTAAGTGCAACACCGAGATCCGAGGACATATTGGGATGGCCAAGGACGTATTCCAAAAGCTGGACAGAGTATTGCGAGACAGGAGGATTTCTTCGGTAACAAAGAAAAGGATACTGAGCTGTTATGCGACATATGCCCTTCTTCTCGGCAGCAATTATTAGACGATTTCCTCAAGGATGAAGAAGAGACTCGAGGCGACGGAGATGTGGTTCTACAGAAGGATGCTGAGGATTTTGTGGACAGAGCAACGATGAGGTCTTAGAGAGGTTGTAAACAAGGAGGAGGTTTATACTTAACATCAGGAAGAAGTAGCTGAAGTTTCTGGGACACATAATGAGGAAAGAGGGCCTGGAGAATCTGATACTTACGGGTCGAATAGAGGGAAAGAGAGACAAGGGAAAGCAGTGTGTGGCATTCCTGGCGTCCTTGAACAGGTTGATGACTGAATGTGGTCTTGGGGAGGAAGCAGAGGGAAGGAACTTGTTGAGAGCCGCAAGGGATAGAGGGAGGTGGAGGGACATGATCGCCTACGTCCTGAAAGGACATGGCACGTAAAAAGAAAGAAAGAATTGTAGATGTGTACACCTATCTGCACAAACATATATACAGTCAATGATACAAAAAATGACTGCGAGGTAAATAAAAAGAGAGATGAATAAACGTTTCCACAAGAGGAAAGACGCAAGCGCTCGAATACATAAAGAAAAGGAGAATCACACACACATAGATAGATAGATAGATAGATAGATAGATAGATAGATAGATATGAATAGACTGAGATAGATAGGAATGAACCTGATAGATAGATAGATAGATAGATAGTCATATATTAAGAAATGGACAAAGTCCGACAATATATTTACAAAGAATTTTTATATTTTAACGTTTTTTTTATATAGATACAAGTATTTTAGTAAAATGCTATTTTTATAATAAACAGTATTAAATAACATTTACCGGCCTGAATAATAGATAGATAGATAGATAGATATGAACAGACTGAGATAGATAGATAGCTAGATAGATAGATATGAGCATTTGAAAATATTTGAAAATATCGTTGTCTGAATAATAATTAACAAAATTACTAAGATTTACAAGATTTTATTTTGGGTAAAATTTTACTATTCTCTACTTGTTTTTCTTTTTAACTGGGTGAAAGACATATTTTGTTTTTTATTAATAACTTAGCTAACCTCAAAAAAATACCGCATTTTCCGGCTTACATGACGCTGCGGTATGGAATAATTTAAATTAAATTGAGAAAAATTTTTCTTTAATAAAAAAATAAAAAGTCATTCTCATACAACAACACAGTCACTATGTGCCCACCAAATAATGGCGTCACGTATTGTTTACATTAATCACTCGTCGGATTTTGTTTGTATAGCAATGACATATTACTCAAGAGCAGAAAGGCCACCGAAGATGCTAGTAAACAGAGTATGTTTAAGCCTGTGGCTCGGCTGCAGGAATGTTTATATTCTTAAAAATACTTGTAACAGCCGTTTAATGAGGTTAAAAGGCTAAATTAAATAGTTAACATTATAGTGCAATGACTCAACATACAAATCCACGTTCTTGTCATTCACATTAAATATGTGACAGTCCAAGCTGCTTATTTGATCCTGGGCATTGCCTTATATACGTCTTGAAAGAGGGTATTTTTTTTTGAAAACCAGTGCATCTTGTAAGACGGAAAATACGGTACCCAGGAGAACAATCCAAGATTTTATGTCTGTAACATATTTACATGTTATACTTACATGAGGTATACCTGTCTATTAATATAAATATATTTATGCATAATTCATACCAGGTATGTGTCATGAGTGATTACTCGGGCAGTCGTTCAACGAAGTAAATTATCAAAAAGCGTTCTCACTATAAAAAAAAAAAGTATTTTAAAATAGAGACATATAAGTAAAACTGATAATAGGAGATAAATTTTAATTTAAATTGTCAAAATTTCAATTCCGTTTTTATATCTGTAAAGAATACAATTTAAATGAAAAAGAATATTGATTAAAAAATGATATTTCTACAAGTTCTATTTAACAATAACAAAATTTCTGATGTCAGGTCTGTACTCAATTATTTAAATCTGGGAAAATTACTGTTTTTTCATGGTATAATTAAAGAACAGTATCCATAGCATTTATAGACTAGCACAGAGGAATTATTTCTATGATTAAAAGAATAACAATTTACAGAATTTTACACAAAATTTAGTGCATTAATTTACAAATGTACAATTGGAATTGAAAATATTTTCAAAAAGTTAATAAACAAATAATTAAATTATATAATTAATTTTAAACAGGCCAGGCTCACCGCAACCTGCTTTTATTTTTCTGAGAGACAAAAAAATAAAAAAAAGATAATCTTAAATTTACAATATTGATGTGTTGATTCCTATTTTTCTTGTGAATATCTATAAATTTTTTAATGCGATAATCACTCCATATATTTTATTAAATACATATATTTTAAACAATAAAAATTTAGAGGCAATATTTATGGCTCATGGGAAAGTGACAGCCGAGATGAAGGACCAGTAATAATGTAAATGATTCTTTTTTTGGAAATTTAAAAAATTTTCAAAGTTCAAGATAAATAGCAGGGACCCCGAATCATGTGGCAGCAATATTCTAAGCATGGGTGAAGTGTAGGCTTACAGATATGTAAGATAGATTCAGGGGAGTTTTGACTCCCTCGACACAGTGAACCAATCAATATATATTATAAGAGATTATAATAAAAACATATTAAATCGCTACAGGAACACTTTCATGTTTCAATACTATGATTGCCCTTCCTCAGTCGATGGTTGGTAACTGGGAATAAAATGTTTCGTTAGGCAAATTTAAAAACAAATCGTTACCTCTTTTCCGAATAATTTAAAAGGGGGAATTATAATAAGGTTTATATATAAAAAATATATTTGTGGGTATGTCTCGATTAACCAATCAAATGTCAGATCGACGCTAAATAGAAAGAAAAGGTCAGAGGGTGGGGGTGAGTGAGTTATTTTTTCACATCACGATAAACCTGCACTTAAACATGTCAGCATTGAAAATTGTGGAGAATATGGCAGTGACAAATGTATCTTGAATGTAGCCAACTATAACGTTCCATTTGTTGAAGTAGTAGTTTTTTTATTAAAAATGTTTTTATTATAATTTCTTATAATAAAAATATAATAATAATGTTTTCCTCTACTTTGTATTGAGCATTGTTTTTTTTAAATAAATGCTACAAACTGTGGTTAATTATTCCATTTGCTCTTATATATATATATATATATATATATATATATATATATATATATGAAGAAATATAGTTTTACGGTGTGCTATATTTATGAGATAGTGCTCAGAGATAGTATGTAAATATAAATTTAAGTGTGAACATTGAAGTCAACATTCAGGGGCGACAGGCTGTTTCATGTTAGACGTAATCGTCAGGCCGCTATATATATAAATTCGCTTGAGGATGAAATGGAAATAATGTCTTTAATTTAATTGAAAAATTAAATTCGTGGCTTTTAGCTTCCATTTTTGAAACATGGTGAGAACTGTGTAGCGGAAAAAAACCATAATTTAAATCAATTAATTTATAATATTAATGCTCTGTAAATTTACATTGAGCACTATTTTGTCAAAATCAACATATCTATAAGAACACCGGATTATATATCTTACAGTTCTTCCTTTTTTTTAAATACATATATATATATATATATATATATATATATATATATATATATATATATATATATATATATATACTTTTTGCGTGCTATATTTATGCGATAAAGCGTTCAATATCGGAGATAGAGCGAGTGTAAATATAAAAGTGAACATTGAAGTCATGACTCAGAGGCGAAAGGCTGTTTCATGCTATATGCAAACGTCAGGCGATATATATATCAGCGAGAGCTTTACGCTACTGGAACCACAGGTAACATAAAATTCGTTTCTGGTTATGTGGCTCTGGTGGATGTCGGAAATATTCTCTCTACAATGAAGAATTGAAAGCCGAACCAAAAGCTCTAATATTGGAAGCAAATGATCCTTTTTTTGATCGTTATCTCCTGTAGATAATTCTGTATGATAATCAGAAACGGGCCACTCACTTTGGGTATACAAACAGGATCCAAACCCGCCATTTTTCAGAAAAACAAACCTTCAGCTACAAAAATCGTCTTTACGATAGTAATACGATAACTCATTATTCAATTGTAGCATCTTGCAACAGAACTGAAATCATGTTGCAACTCGCTGTGAAGTCATGTTATCGATCATTATTTAGAAATGCCGTGTCAAAAGATGTTAACACTTTGTCCAGCAGTGATGAAGACACACACAAACAAAAAAAAACATATCCTGATGTACACTACCAGGCATCATACTTCAAAAATCACATGGGTACCTCGAAGTGGTGTAATGGTTAGCAAGCTTGTCTCGCAGGAACAATTGGGACTGAGTAGTGAGTTCGATCCTCACTGGCTGCCACATACATTCGGCCTTGTGCCACATCTGAGCTACGCTTAGAAAAAAGGGGCACCTCGAGGCGGAGTAATGTTTAGCAAGCTTGTCTCGCTAGAACAATTACGACTGAGTAGTGAGTTCGATCCTCACTGGGTGCCACATACTTTCCGCCTTGTGCCACGTCTAAGCTACGCTTAGAAAAAAAGGGCACCTCGAGGCGGAGTAATGGTTAGCAAGCTTGTCTCGCTAAAACAATTACGACTGAATAGTGAGTTCGATCCTCACTGGGTGCCATATTCTTTCGGCCTTGTGCCACGTCTAAGCTACACTTAGCAAATCAATACTTCAAAAATCACTTCGCAGAAATTGATATTATCATACATCGAAATGTTACTTCACTCGCTCTATTCACGGCATTTGCACTATGCTGATTACCACTTTTTCTCAGAGTCTAACTGCTGGTGGACATTCATATGGAATTTTCTCTGATACGTGGTTGGTTACCTTAACGACAGTTTGTAACATTTTTATCGTGATTACCACATCGTTAACAACATTATGATACGACTAATGAACCAAGTATATTTTAAAATGTGTGGCATACTACTCAACATTTGGGCATAAGAGTGAATTAAAATTTGGTCTGAGATATGTCTTAGGTTAAAAACTTTTCAGAACAATCTAAAATCTCTCTCTCTCGATATATATATATATATATATATATATATATATAGCATAATGAGAAGCCACGTATACTTTCTTAATATGTATATATAGAAAAAGTTTCAAATTAAAAATTATAATGTTTTATTTTATGAAAGTATTTATTTATTTATATATATATTTGATATTTCAAATTGTCCTCAATTTTTCATCAGAAATAACTGTTTGTTACAAATAAATTAAAATTACTGTTTGTTGGCAAGTAGCGTCCTTCGCGAGACGCGGACGTCACGTGATATGGAACGTCACTGTTCAGATATTCCTAACTTAAATCTAACTGTCATAAATATTTTAAAAAATATTTTTTACTATATCTAAAGAAATTGCTTAGCTATTGAAATATTTATAAAGATTTAAAACACCTAAGTCCCTATTCAACCCTAATTTATGTGTATTTAATTTTAAAATCCAATATGTTTCTTTTTTTCTGCGTGTGAATGTGGAAGTAAAATATATATATATATATATATATATATATATATATATATATATATATGTTATAATATCATTATTTAGAAATATGTATTTATCGCGACGCAGAATATGTCATGTTTCGTGCCTACATGAAAAGTTATATATTATTAAATATATTAAATATTTAAGTATATTAAATATTTAAATATAATAAATATTTGGGGTGCGATATGCCTCGTTAAGTTAAAAACTTTTCAGCACCATCTAAAATCTCTCTCTCTCTCTCTCTCTCCTCGATATATATATATATATATATATATATATATATATATTATAATCTTACTTATTATAAAACGCAGATTGTGTGTGTGTTTGTGTATGTCTGTACGTTTATATATTGGATCAGTTTCCCTACATTTTTCAACCGATTTCAACAAAACTTCACAGGACTGCGTAAAATTACCTTGCGGTGGTTCTGACAGCACCAAAATTTGGAAAAACACAATTGTTTTTGCATGAAATCAATTTGAAAACACGATTCTGTCGTCAGAATGAAAGTGGGACAATTCATATCGAGTTATACTTATTATAAAACGCAGGTTGTTTGTGTGTGTGTGTTCGTTTATATATGGGATCAGATTTCCTACATTTTTCAACCGATTTCAACAAAACTTCACTTTTTTTTGGCAGGTAGTGTTTCTTATTGTCTTGCATACTTTTTTTATTTTTACATTCAGAATGCTTTAAAAATTCCATTTACAAGATAATTTTTTATAATAAAATTCTATTCAATCGATAGACTCATAATGATTGAAAACAATGTTTTTGTTTGAGTTTGGTCTTGACTAATTCGTAAAAAAATAAAATAAAAATAAACTAATTAAGACATGCATGTCCGTCAACCTTAAATAATAATCTTTGTCAATTTTATTTTTCAATCTTTATGATGGTCGATACTTGATCTATCTCTTACTGTTACATCCCCGGGCAACGCCGGGCTCTGCTGCTAGTATTATTTAAAAATATGTATTTGACGCGACGCAGAAAATGTCATGTTTCGTGCCTACATGAAAAGCTATATATTATTAAGTTTCTGAAAAATAAAGATTTATAAAATCGAATAAAAGAACGGCTTTTTGTAGATATTATATTTTGTTTACTTTAAAGAATAATTAATTATAAAAAAATTGCATAATTATATTTATTTATTTGATCATAAATAAGAAATTAATAAAATGCGTAATTAAATTGTAATATTTTAATTTTAACAATCCCATTTCTAGTATACTAATAAATATAGTATTTTAGATCTTTATAAATAAATATAGTATTTTAGATCTTTATAAATAAATATAGTATTTTAGATCTTTATAAATAAAAATATAAATATATAAAATATGACTCAATTATATTTAAAAATGCCCTTTAAGAAAATATTTAAAGTATTTTATAAAATAAAGAATGAAAAATAAATAAAAATGCCAATGTCTTTCAGTGTATCTCATGTTTGCCCCTAAATTAAAAAAAAAAAAATTAACAGTGATGACACGTTTTCATATGAAGAAGCAAGTATCGCAAACAGAAGTTGCAAACCTAGACCTAAACCTTAACCTATATTTACTTTAGCGACTTAAATTATACTGGTATCGTGATTCGTCAAAAAAATCTAACATACTCTTAAAATTTTGAAATCCCATTCCCACACCAACTTAAACTGTATATTATTTAGCTTAAAAAAAGTAAATACACTTTATTCGAAAGTTATTCAACATCGCTTGAGAATGGAACAAAATTTTAATCTTAAGTTTAATTTATGGTTTACATTTTGGTTTTGGTTTCGAAACTTGATAATTTCTGTGTCACGTTGAATATATATTTTTAAATAAAAATATTATAATATTATGTCCTATCGAACACTGATTTTAAATATAAATGCTAAAGAACTCTGGATTATAATTCTGACTGTTATATATATATATATATATATATATATATATATATATATAGAGAGAGAGAGAGAAGAAAGATAGATAGATAGATAGATAGATAGATAGATAGATAGATAGATAGATAGATAGATGAGAAGGAAGTGAGATAGATAGATAGATAGATAGATAGATAGATAGATAGATAGATAAGAAGGAAGTGAGATAGATAGATAGATAGATAGATAGATAGATAGATAGATAGATAGATAGATAGATGAGAAGGAATTGAGATAGATAGATAGATAGATAGATAGATAAATGAGAAGGAAGTGAGATAGATAGATAGATAGATAGATAGATAGATAGATAGATAGATGAGAAGGAAGTGAGATAGATAGATAGATAGATAGATAGATAGATGAGAAGGGAGTGAGATAGATAGATAGATAGATAGATAGATAGATAGATAGATAGATAGAACGTGGATGAGAAATTAATAAAATATAAAATATGTTGTTCATTACTTGAAAAATCTTCACCAACATCTAGTTTCCCTCTTTCGATATGTATATATATATATATATATATGTGTGTGTGTGTGTGTGTGTGTGTGTGTGTGTGTGTGTGTGAAAAGAGGATGCGAAATCAATAAATATAATGTAGCCGAATATAAATGTTTAAGGGTTTATAATGGAACCTGGGATGCGTTCAAATTTAACGGCAACCAACCATCATCTTTCAAACTTCCTCCCGCCTATTTTTCACTTCACCACAGAGAAGCCGACTTTCACTATTTGTTTGGCGTCATTTCATTCATGCGCAGAGCAAATGGCTAGACTGCTATACAACTAGATATCTACGGATACACAGATATATGGGACTATGGAAAAAGAAAAGAAAAGATGCAAGCGAAAGCTTCGATACGTTAATATGAATGGTTTGGCTTTGAAACATTGGTTAGTTCATCGCTTCTTTTTTTTTTTTTTTACTTTTTCGTTGATTCAATATTGTATGACTGCGTCTACCTGGACAGAATGACTGTGTCTACCTGAACAGAACGACTATAAAGGACCAATAAAGACGTCGATAAGCACTGATACATTATGTGGACACAAGTAGCCACACTTACACACGCAGACCCAAATAATCACAAGCTCACAGACCTGTACTTACTTATGAATTATAAGGCATTACTAATATCCATTTGTCAATACTGTCAATGGATAAAGCAGGTATTTATGACCACTGCCCAATCCAACATACTCGTCCACTTAATACACGCACACACATACAAAGGTAAAAATATACATACATATAATTGTATGTGTTTGTGTCCTGGCCTTGATCATACATAGACATATATTAATAGATATGTAGTCAATATATTTACTTCATACTTACGCATGTTAAAATTTACTTGGGATTCTCTGAAAATAATTTATTTATTTTCACAGAAACTAAAACAGATATGAAAAACAATTAAAAAATATATTGGATTTGGGGATTTTCCCGTTATATAATCTTATTTTCCCACAAAGTACCCATTATTGGCATTTTAGCCATCGACGAAAAAATACTCGTTGAGGGTCACTCGGAACATCCGTTGTCACACATCAGTCTCACCTGTGCCAAAATGCATTAATCATTGCCTGTGTTCACATCTACAGTTTGGCTTCTTTTAACAGAGACCACGAAGCCAAATGCCACATGGAGGGATTTAATAGATTTAATGATGCAACACTTCTTCTTTCATGTTTGGTGCACAATTTCTGTTGACAGGGTGCGATGGGTAAATTTTCGGCATTCAGATTTTTAATTTCGAGCATGCGCATTGTATGTTTTTTGACCGCATAATATAGTATATGAGAAAAAGAGTAACATGACCCTATTCACTCCCCCAGAAATTTGGAAACGGCATGCTGTACAGGTTGGCATTCGCACCGGAGGATCAAATATGAACATTTTAGAAGGTTTGGATGTCAATCTGAAGACAGTGCAGACGATTCAGAAAGAGATTGAAGATATATCCAGTTAATATCATGATGTTTGTATTGATCACTAGAGATAGCGACGTTATGCCTCCATTCCCCTTCCCACAGGGCCTCAGACTCAAGACGGAGGTCTATATCAAGTGCCTTGGAGAGTTAGTGTTGTCCTGTGTCAAGGGAATAGCTGCTAGAAGACCCAATCTGGAAACAAGACTCTACATCATGACATACAAGCAAGGGAACCCAGTCATAACTGTCAGACAATTACTACGACCCCAAACATATGTCCACCTAACTCCCCAAGCTGCACCCCACTTGATTATTATTATATGGGAGTACAGATGGGCAAGAGACCAAATAAATTCCTTGTAACACCAAAGATGACCTGAAGGCAAGGATTATGGCAGTATTCACCAACTTAAACAGGGAGACCGTCCAGAAGAGATGCAGGACATTCCCAAGACGACTGGAGACTGTGACTGAAGCTAATGTCGATTTTATTGAATAAATTTACTCTAGAATTTTCAAGATCTTTTGTGCAATGTTTATATATATATATATATATATATATATATATATATATATATATATATATATCTGTTAAAATGATATATCAGCGTTATTTTCACTTTTGTGTCATTCAGACGACAATTTATCCATCGCAACGTGTGCAGTAAAAACAGACATAAATATGGCTCATTGGCTGGACGGTTTGTCTTACTTTCATACTTCTACTAACCTTGTCAGCTATTGTCATAGGTCAACATAATAATATAATTTTTATTACTTTTGGAGTAATTCTCGTATATATGCGTAGCTATATCAATAAGTCCGTATTATAATGAAAAGAGAATATATCTTTGTATTTTTAAGTATAACTTTGTATACTTAAGCATAAATTTATAGTTTTCAATATAACTTATTTTCAAATATAATATTTTTATTTTATTTCATTGTATTTTTATTTTTTAATATATAAATTATTTTATCCTTTTATATTTCATTTTTAAATATATTTTTATTTTTTAAATATAACATATTTATTTTATATTAAATATAACTTATTTTTAAATATAAATTATTTAAATATGATTTGTTTTGAAATATAACTTATTTTTATATATCTTATTTTAATTATAAGTTGTTTTTGAATTTTTACATATAAGTATGATTTTGTATTTTTAAATATAACTTTATATATTTTAAGGTTTTTAAACCCCTTTTTATTCCTTTCTTAGTTTTGAATTAACACTTAATTCTTCATATACTCCCAATTTAATGTCATAAGGTTAATATCCGGGTTTAATTTTATAGATACTCTTCCCTTTATAACAAATAACACCGACCCTCTCCTGACCAATGTCGAATGCATTTCGTCTGACTGAAACATTGAAATGGATAAATTCTGTCTTACTTTTTCGACTTTTTTTTTTTTTTTAGCTTTCACAGTTAAATTTCTATTCCCGATATGAACTCATTCTATACCGAGGTTGATACAGAGAAATTATATTTTCCTCTTTCGAAATAAGCTTAATCTCCATATGAGGTGATTTTGGATTTTTTTTAAATTTTATATTTCTTTGGTTAACCTAAAAGTTTTAATATATCATTTAGATCAAACATTATACATTGCAAATTTCATGTCCGACTTTGTCTATTCACTGTCAGACTTCAGGATTCACCCTCGAGTAATTACTTTTGTACCTCCCTTTTTGTAATGTTCCCTCCTTTTCTTCGACACCCCTTCTCTCTCTCTCTCTCTTTCTGTCTGTCTCTCTCTCTCTTTCTCTTTATCTGAATCCTACTTAATCTCTCATGTACTCACTTTCTCTCTCCCTCACCCAAACCCTTTCTCTTTCCCCCTCCCTATTCTTCCATCTCTCTCCATTTCCCCGTTATATATATATATAGGTACCGACCATTCACATCGCAGTGATAGAGGAAAGGATGAAGTGAAGGTTAGGGCATCTGGAGACGTCGATTGACGTTACATATGAATAGCTGGAGATTATAGCTATCAGGAAAACAAGAAATGGGCTATATTTAACAGTTTCGACAGTGAAAGGGTGAGAGCGAGATGCCAGTCTAGTTGAACGCTTAAATTCATGAAGTCTGGGAAACAGCGAAAGCAGCTCATCGGAGCAGTTACCGTGAAAATATTTGTAAAAAAGACAGAGGGAAGCGACGGCACGTCTGTGAGAGATCGGCTGTAGACAAGATGCCAGATAAGGGCCAAATACATTGCATATCCGTCTTTGGATTTTATCAAGGACCTTGAGACAATTAGAAGGGGCTCCAGACCATATATGACAGCAATACTCCATGCAAGGGCGAATGGTTGATTTGTAGATTTGAAGGATCGACTCTAGCAAGAAATATTTCCTGGCGCGGACGAAGCTATTGACTCAATGTATTCGTTCCATCTCAGGTCGGCAGACAATGTGAGCATATATCCAACATTGTCCAGAGCTGAGGAACGTAACGCCGAAAACCATCGTCTTTCATGCCTTAAATAAACATTACTCGTACGAAATAAAATGCATTTACGGCGATACATCTTTGTGAGTGGCATTTATTTCTCATTGCCAATCAGGCAATAATAAATGTCTTTTCATTCGACCAAAACATCAACGAGTGAGGCCATTAGTTGATTCGCTGTCAGAGAAACTTTTCTTGTTTATAAACATCGGTTTATTTTTAGCAATGGCTAAAAGATTTTGAATGGTAAAAGGCCGACAAAAACTCAATTTACGTAAGCACAAAAGACAAATATGCAGAGATAATAACGATACACACACAAACGTGTACAACGCGTATATGCATACACGCGCACACAAGGCAGATACGTACATATGCAATGCATATACACACACAAATGTGCACGACGCGGATATGCCTACACGCGCACACAAGACAGATACGTACATACGCAATGCATATACACACAAAAACGTGCACAACGCGTATATAACATATTTACGCATTGAAAGACAGATATTTACATACGCAATGCATATATGGACACACAAACGTGCACGACGAGGATATGCATACACGTGCGCACAAGGCAGATACCTACATACGCAACGCAATATACACACAAAACGTGCACAACGCGTATTATGCATACACGCGCACAGAATGTCTGATACGTACATACGTAATGCATATAAACACACAAACGATGACGACGCGGATATGCATACACGCGCACAAAGGCAGATACGTACATACGCAATGCATATATTGTGTGTACAAACGTGCACGACGCGTATATGCATACACGCGCACACAAGACAGATACGTACATATAAAATGCATATACACACACTTTAAAAACGACGAGTATACAAAATACATTATACACAAGACAGATATATTTACAAACGCAATGCATACACACACAAACGTGCACGACGAGGATATGCATACACGCGCACACAAGGCAGATACCTACATACGCAATGCATATACACACACAAACGTGCACAACGCGTATATGCATACACGCGCACACATGTCTGATACGTACATACGTAATGCATATACACACACAAACGTGCACGACGCGGATATGCATACACGCGCACACAAGGCAGATACGTACATACGCAATGCATATACACACACAAACGTGCACAACGCGGATATGCATACACGCGGACACAAGACAGATACGTACATACCCAATGCATCTACACACACAAACGTTCCCTCCTTTTCTTCGACGCGGATATGCATACACGCACACACGAGGCAGATACAGGGGTTGGACAAAATAATTGGAATAGTTGCAAAATCCACTCCTATATTTGAAAGACCTATTATATGAGCTTTAACTGAAACTTCGTAATTGCATGTTATATCTATTGTAAATACGTTTATTTATTTAATTTACTGTCTTTGTCTTATTTTTTTTTCAGAAATTAGCAAAAGAGCAAATTCTTGGAGCTCGCATGGCATGAGCCTCGATCCGTGAGGTGGTTGGTGAACTATTTGGTTTTTCAAGAGCTACCATATCAAGAACACTGATGCAATTCGCGAAACAGGGCAAGACCTCTAGCAACCGTAGCAATTCGGGCCGGACTTCCAAACTTACTGACAGGGACTGACGTGCAGTGAAACGCAATGTGGCAAAGAATCATCGGACAAATGTGGCCAAAGTGGCTGCTGAGTCGAATAACCATTTGAATAGTTCAGTTTCTACTAAAACTGTTCACCGTGAGCTCCATAAGGCTGCATATCATGGAAAGGCTGCTGTGAGGAAACCTCTTCTCTCCACTCGCAACATTCAAAAGAGGTTGAAGTGGTGCAGAGATCACAATGCCTGGTCTGCAGACCAATGGAAGCAAGTCCATTTTTTTTTCTTTTCCCAACTTCAGGGCGATTTGAAATGTATGAGGCAGCCCAAAGAAGCTTACAACCCTGACTGCCTTCTTCCAACAGTGAAGCCTAGAGGTGGATCAGTGATAGTTTGGGCCGCCATATCATGGAAATGTCTCAGTCCAATTGTTGCCCTGCATGGTAGAATCAACCGCAAAGATTACCTGACATTTTGGGAGATCATGTTCATCCAATGACCAAGGCTTTATTCCCTGATGGTGAATGCATCTTCCAAGACGATAATGCTCCAATACATACCGCTCGAGTGGTTAAGAATTGGTATGAAGAGCATGAAAGTGAGCTAGAATACATGGAGTGGCCTTCCCAATCTCAAGATATCAATATTATTGAACATTTGTGGTGCATTTTGGAGCAACAAATTAGGAGCCGCTATCTTCCACCGTCGTGTTGTATAGAGCTGGAGAAGGTTTTAATGGATGAAGTCAGGAAGCTGTATGATTCCATTCCTGGACGTATTAAAGCGGTCTATGAGGCTAAAGGAGGACTAACTCCATATTAAATAAATTTTCTTTGAAGTTAACAAGTGTTCCAATTATTTTGCCCAACCCCTGTACGTACGCAATGCATACACACACAAACGTAAATACAAATGCAAAAGAAGTAAAGTGGGTAATTATCAAAATTTACAGATTTTAGCTTTGATAGAAGTTTCTTAACTGAAATTGCAAAAGTTTTGTTAAACTTATCAAAACAGTCAAACAAAACAGGTAAGTTTATTTATTTCTAATGAAAGTATATTTATCAGTTATAAATAATACATAAAGTTTAAGCAATAGTTGAAAAGTTTTGCCTTTTATGAAAATTAAAGAAAAGCTAGACAACAGCTGTTTCATTCCACCATAGCTAATATGACATGTTCTAACTAAACACTAGCTCAATAACTGAATATTTTATATCGTCAAGAATATTATCAATATGGAAAGATACAATTGCCTTAATAATAATGCTTCAAACAACAATATAATTCTAAAAACATAATAACATCAAACAAAATATCCGTTTAACCCCAGTTGACGAAATAAAGGGATCCGGTTGAAATCATCGACAAAGAACATCATTGTAAAATTCGTAAACTTAAGGAATCAGCACATATGCTAGGTCACGAAAATCTCCTGAGCCGACCAAGCATAGAAATGAATACAATATGGGAACCAGTAATAAGGAGTGCCAGAGAAAAGCAATGATGACAACAAAGTTGCAATGTGAGCTCTGGTAAAAAACATGAAATGATAATAGCAAAAATTGCAATATGAGTACTGCTAAAAATGGTTGCTGAAGACATTAGGTTTGTAATACCCAGAAATTCATACACAGATGTCCTCAAGGACACATGGCACAGTGGATAAAGGTGTTATTTAGGTCCAGTGACAGGACCCAAAGGCGTGTGAGTTCAATACCTGGTTAAGGCGGTCGAGAACTTGGAGAGGGGAATTAACAGGAGATAACTGATAACTGACATCCATTAGACATGGCACGTGGAACTAGAACAGTCTACCTATAAAAGGTTCAGTTCAACATTCCAACCACCTGAAGAAAATTTATTGGAACAACGGCCGAAAAATTAATGAAAAATAATGGCAACAAAAGATGAGGATGATAGTCCGGGCAATGTAAATAGTCTACATAATACCTCATCTCAGAAATATAGACAGATAAAAGGATCAGTTCGGAATTGCAATCACCTAAAGAAGGCCGGATATTACAACTGCCGAAACGTTGTGAATATTGCAATGAAGATGGTGATAACAGTCCGAATAATGCAAATAGTGAATATTTTATATCGTCAAGAATAATAACAATATGGAAAGATTCAGTTGTCTTAATGATAATACTTTAAACTATTGAAGAAGTGACAAATATGAGTCATTAACATTGGCTATTTCTTTTGTCGAGGAAACGAAGTATCAACAGAAATTTGTAATGATTTCTTTCAGTTCTGTCTTTAATGATAGAAGTTGTGTAATGTAAGAATTCCATAATGTATAATATCTGTCCAGTTTGAGCCTCAGAATTTGAATCATGTTGTATTGCCTTATTTATGTCTATGCAATGTTATGCTAAAACTCAGTTAATACTAGCAAAATTTAGAAGTCAAATTATATGCCACATTATACGCTATAAGAAAAGAAGTACACACGTACAGCGTTGAGCAAATTAATTGAAACAACAATTTTAGTTTCCTTTCTTTCTCCATACGGTCAGTTTTAGACCCACGAGAGTGACAAGGTGTAGTCGATTCCGATTTTTTCCTCAGATTAGGTCATTTGCAGTGATGTGCAGTAATATGAATATATTTTCGAAGTGTATGATGAAATTTACTTGGCCTTGAAAAATATTGCGTCATCCGTGATTCCATCATATTTTCATCACGCACAGACCCTATTGTCTCGACTGTCGATTAGTTGTCCTACGGCCATTGTCTGCGATGGATGTTACTCCAAGGAAGTGTTTGAAAATTGTAACGCTGCACAAACACACTGGCAAGCCTTACCAGTGAGCAAATCAAAGTACTATCGACTGGCTCGGAAACTCTCCTGATGTAAATCCAATCGAGAATCTGCGGTCAATCTGCAAAGAAAAACTTCATGTAATGCACATACAAAATACTAGTATGTGAAATGGGTCATTTTTCATTAGAAAAATATGAAAAAAAATTAAATAATAACGGAATTATTCGTTTTGTTTCAATTAATTTGCCCAACAGGTATATATATATATATATATATATATATATATATATATATATATATATATATATATATATATATATACACACATACAGAGATAGATAGATAGATAGATAGATAGATAGATAGATAGAAAGAATGTATATATAAATAAAAAGAAAGAACTGTAAGATATATAATCCGGTGTCAAAGAAAAGATATTTTTTTTTTTGAAAAAATAGTGCTCAATGTAAATTTACAGGGCATTAATATTATAAATTAAATTATTTAAAATATAACTATGTAGCGAAAAACATATTTTAAATCAATTAATTTATTATATATATATATATATATATATATATATATATATATATATATATATATATATAAATTTTTTGGGGTTTCAGATTAATCATTATAGTAATTCATCGAGTCTAGAAGAATTAAAACAGAATCTTATTTTGTAATTCAACATCAGTGCGCAAAATTCTATTACTTGTATATCCTTGCTTGACCCAGCTAATCTTGTTCGATGAAACGATTCGGGAGAAAGGAAAGATGTGGCTCTTGGAGCACAACCTTGGGTTATGAATACTTGTATGAGTGTCACCATGGAATTTCTGAGTAGCGGCGCTATATCGAGTCTATTCAGTTTCTTCTTCGTTACCGAGGCCCATTGGTACAGTTGGTATGATGCTTGCTTTGTATCTAAACAGTCCGAGTTCGGATCTCGGTAGTGGATGCGCAATGCTGATGAGTGCCAAAATAAGACAAAACGTCCGTCCAGTGCTTTCTGCATTCTGTTGTGGATTCTTCTGGACTAGATGAATTAATATTATATATGGAGGGGAAAGTGATACATACAAAGAAACAGAAAAAAACACAATGGACTCCATTCAAATTAGTTGTAGGCTGAAATGATTTTTGGTTGGGCTGAGAAATTCTTTGCAATTTATTAGAAATTTTGAACACATTCTTTGAAATTGATTATATTTAAAATGATATATGATTTTATATACTATGAACCTTTTCTTCAATAAAATTATTATTTCTAATAGAAGGTTTTTGTCATAGAGTGATCATAATTTGGCGCATTTACATCTTCTTCTTCATTGCATGGACCGCATCTCAGCTCGTTATTTTCCCCTATTTTTAAATATACCAAAAGCTTCTTTCTGTTTTGTCTGACATTGTCAGATGAAGGCTTTTTTCATCCTTCCAATCATTTCTGAGCAAGTTTCTTTATTTTTTTGTTTTTGATCGAAAGCTTTTCACTTTATTTCACCTTCGGCGAATTTAGAACAAGACAGAACCACAGGACGAGACTCGAACTTGCATCCCATAATAACAATAGCTTGTTTTGTTAAGTACCAACGTTTTTAACACTTTAACTACCGAAGTTGAGAGAAGAAGATATAATTGTTCACCTCTAATACTACGGCTGCTTCTTCCATCCCACTATTTTTTTTCTTGAAACGTTAACAGCAGCAGCAACAACAACACTAGAATTAGTTGTGCCATTTCTCTCAGTTGTCCGAAGTACTAAAATAAACATTATTCTATAATTATAATTTTCCTTGTTTTTTTTTATGATCAAATCTTAGTTTCATATATTCTTTGGTTAGTATATTTTACTTACTTTTTTCCCAAAGTTTACAGAACTAAGTGACAGATCGCTTACGAAAGATCTTTAGTAAGAATATTCAGTTGATGAGTTTGTTCAAATATTTATGACGTTTTACTTGTCAATGTGTGTGTATCTCTCTGTAAAATCTTCAGAACTAAATGCACTTCGTTTATTTTTAAGTTTGATTTGGGATTTGTTATTTCTTTTCTCCAATATTGAGATCGTACCGTTTCAGTTTGTCTACTTTGTATTTGGCCAGGAGTCAGAAAATATTAGTTTATTTTTTTACTGGAGAAATCATTTTACTATTTTCATCCCCAGATTCAATGAAGATAACGTTTGCTTCGTCTTCATCGATTTACTCCACGCCATTTTGTAAGCTATATTTATTAATGCTCTTGTGCAATAAGCTATTCTCCTCTGATTTGCATCATGTTTTGAGCTTTATTTCAAACTTTTTGGTCTTTTCCTGAAAACCCTTGTAAAAATTGTTATTGTAAAAAAAAGACAAAAAAAAGAAACACAAAGACCTACCATTTTGAGTGTTCCAAAATTCATTGATATTTCTAGGAATCTGGATGTTTTTTTTTTTTAATGTAAGAAGGGTACTAGGACATTTAGCTGATAGACATTTATCCGAATGGTCATTTAGCCAAAAAAGTAGTGGCGTATGCCACACTTTCTATCGTACTGTGCTGTATCTATTTACATTTATTTACTGTATTAATTTATAATTTTTCGGAGGTTTTTTTTTTTTTTTTTTGACAGTTTTTTTTTAAATCTGTTCTGTATATATTATATTTTACTTCAAATATTACTGTTAGATGAGAAGTATTTTTGAGAAAAAGCACATTTTACTACAGCAAAGATCTTAAGCTTTTACGATATGAAAGATCTTTCAATTTCGCTTTTAAAGATCATTATTTTAAAGTGATGAACTAGCTTTTATCTTACTGTTAAATACTAATTTAAATAATTACGTGCTACTTTTTACCCAAATACACTCAAATATTTTTAAAATACTAATTTCAATAAACAAGTAAATAAGAAAACTTTTTAATTTAAATTTAGATTTAGTAATTTAATCACTCGAAATTCAGTGCTAATTATTAGTCCTATTCTACCTTATAATACTGCTAATTAAAATATTTAAAGTATTGCTTATTACTATTTTTACATGTACTTTTTCGGCCAAATTTCTGTCGGCCAAATGTCCGGCCACATTTCACTTTGCATGAATTTTCTATGAAAAGGAATGAATTAATATACCTCCCTGCATACTGCCACATCGCCAGATTTCATTATTTGTATGTCACAGTTGTTGGGGAAATCGTGATAACAGGTTAGGATTCCTGTTATTCATTTCTACCTGTTTCGTGTTGCATACAAAGATGAGAACTGTCTCACCAAATCCCATAAAATTAAGATGTCATGAAATTCCCAACATGGCACCGTAAAAATCTTAATGAAAGAGCTGCCTCTTTACCTGAATTCAACGATTTCAAATGATACAGCATAAAATCAAATGTAAAACTTTAATATGTACAAGGATTCGATTTAAAAAGGCATAAATTTTTCAGATGTTACACATTTATGAGTAAAACCTTCGTTTACAAGATTAAAACGTTCAATGCCACAGGAACTACCAACCTAGGTTTCACCTCAATGAATCTTCAGAGTAAGCTGGCTGAAGATTCATTTCGGTGAAACTTAGGTAGGTATTTCCTGGCACTTTAGATTTATTTTATTAAACTTTGCTCTACTTATCGTATTAAGCAATGTACATTTTATCTTAGTACTAGCTTGTTTTTTTTCTTTGGACTGGAAATTTAAGACACTGTTCGGGTGTTTGTACTTCTTTCTTTTTTTCCAATTTTTCCTAGGACACCAATTTGTTTTGATATACTTGTAAATTCTGCCATCTGGGCTTTTTCACCAACCGAGTATAAATATTTGTATAATATATATATAGTGCTTCAACACTAAACACTCCTGGACATTGAGTTCTACCTGGATTCTATCCCCTTGGAATTTTTTATTAAAAAAATATACATGTATGTGTATGAACATATGTATATATATTTATATATTTTGCATATGTATGTGTTGTGTATATTTACCAGTAATATTATATATATATATATATATATATATATATATATATATATATATATATATACTCGTTTCAAAAAACCTTTGAATTTTTGATTTGCCAATAATCAAATTGATCACGAGGGAAAAAAGGTTTTAAAAAAAGAAAGAACTAGAAATATGAAAGTCTGTCGAAAAAAATCGCACAGATACAGGTTTGAAGCCCAAAGAAAAAACCCCGACACGAGTAAACAACTAACAAAAGAGCTCAATACCACCGTAGAGCAGACCTAGATACACCTAGTGAGCCAGACAAACCTACCCAGATGAACACTGAAATCAAAACTCAAAGACAACAGACTGTATAATGCTAAACACAACTATGATTGCCTGATGATTGCGTTTAGTATAAAACAGTGTTGACTTCAATATCTCAAGTTTATATTTACATACACTCTGTCTCTAGTATTGAGTAATTTTCCTATAAATATAGAATACATTAAAACTATATTTATTTCATTATATATATATATATATATATATATATATATATATATATATATATATATATATACTCTCCCGTCGAATTCGACGTATGAGGGTCAAGCAGATCAGTTCCAAGAAATCCGAGAGCCGGACAACAGCACATGAGATTTGATTATAGTGGTGAAGGTTTCGTGCAGAACCATCAACACTTTTTGAAGCGCAGGAATACGTGCCACAGGGTTCCAAAAGACCCTCCGCAGGTTTTGAATTCAGAATTGTCCTTCTCCTAGCCCAGTCTGTCCTGTTATTTACCCATAGCTGGGGGGTGAAGAAGAGGATTCACACCTTTCCCAAGGGTATTAGCACGTAAGTGAATGTAATGGATTCGACTGGAATTTGAACTCGGCTCTCGATTCCTCAATCCAAGACGCTATTGTGCCTTTGCGAGCTTTTTATTATATATATATATATATATATATATATATATATATATATATATATATATATATATATATATATATATATATATATATAATAATAGCTGATCACTTGTATTAAGAGGTAGACTCTCTGCATATTTGTGTGTGTTCAACCCGCACAGAGCCAAGTTTTGGTTTATACTGCATCTATGCTAAGCAGACCTTACTTTGAGTTTCCGGGTGAGAGCGTGTTATCTAGAATGATCAACACTCTGAACAACACCAGCACACATAAACCCTCGGTCACATCGTGCTAGCACAGCTATCGACGGCCTCAAGTGTTCCGTTTACCCAATTTCACTCGCAAGACTTGGGTCAACCCGTGGTATGGTTTTCAGGCACTTTCCAACGGTGCCGCCCGCTGGGATCGTCCCCCAATCTATCAGGAAGTTTTCTTCCTGGCAAATTACTCATGGTGAGATTCGAACATACATATATTCATACATACATTAACACGCATTGAAAAGATTGTTTGGCCAAATGAAGAGTCCTACAGCGTTTTGGCGGTGTGTATAGGAAATCTCCCCCTTGGGAAAATGGTGAGCCCCATTATTCAAAGAATAAAAAGAATCTGTCTTCGAAAAGTGGAAAGGAAAATAAGAAAAGATCCAAAATAGCTGCCGTGCAATTCCTTCGTTTTGTTGTATGACGAAGAATACAATTGCTTGGAAGAAGAAAATTGAATCAGAAAGACGGTGAAGAATATCAAAAAAAAATAAAAATAAAAAGGAAACAAACAAGATGGAGTCCGAAAGACAGAGAGACAGAGATTGTAAAGTCAAGGAAAGTAAGAAAACAAGAAAAATGAGGATAATTAACAGAATCAATGACTGGAGCAAAAAGATAGAGATAAATCTGGACGTTTCTAAACCTACAATGAAGAATGTTGATGAATTTTCTGAGTGTAACTTTATTGGTGCTATATATTAAATTTCATGATAATTAAGGGAAGGCAAATTACGAATGTTGAATCAATAATGAAGATAATAATGAAACCATAAAAGTAATGGTGCTGATGTTACTGCTGCTGTTGGTTTGAATGTTGCTAATGTGAAAAAAGAAAGCAAAATATCTGAAAATAAAAGCTACCAAGAGGAAAACTATAAAACCAGTGTAATCGGAATGAAAGAGAAATATGTAAATGACCCCTGGCCAAAATAGAAGTTTGCAGTTGCTACTGATTAATAACTGACTCGATTAATGACTGAAGTTTACATTCCAAATAAACAATACTTAAATTATGTTTATTTAGAAATAAAAAAAAACTCTTATGTTCTAATTTTTGGTTAGACTTTATCAAACAACGATTCCCACAAACTTTCGCATCTTGAGGTTTTATATTACAAACTTTTCAAGACGTTCATCATATATTTCTCCAATCAAGAATGCTTCAAGTATTCTGAAAATTCTACTTCTTTCAGGAGTTTATGTAGTTCCCATTTCGACTACACCCTTGTCAAAATTAGTTGAAACAAAACTAATTATTCCGTTATTACTTAATTCTTTTCGTAATTTTCCAATGAAATACAAAACAGTGCACATATTAGCACAGCATATGTCCATTAGCCAAAGTCGTTCCTTGCAGATTGACCACAGATCCTCGATTGGATTTAAATCAGGAGATATTCCGAGATAATCTACTTTGATTTACTCACTGGTAAGGATTGCTAGTGTCTTCTTGCAGCGTTACAATTTTTGTACGCTTCCTTTGAGTAACTTTTATGGCAGACAATGATCGTAGGACAACTATCCGACAGTCGAGACAATAGGG